CATGCCACTCTTTCTCATGACTTACTCATAAAACTGGCAGGAAACCTATTGTTTTTTACTTTTTGGAAAACACAGCTGTGCCTATTGAATTCCATAATGACCTCGTACCTTGCCAGTGACTAGGTCAAAATTCAGCAACTTCAGCTGTGGGATCTTCCATAATTATACATTGGGAATAGTAAGAGCCACCAATTAAAATTACATACAGTACATATATGGCAATACTCGCAATTCTTTAATTAAATATTTAATTAAATACCAAATTTTGGAATAATTTGGGAATAGCTGTTTCTTTCTCATTAATTGGTTTAACAGTTTCAGCTCCAGCCCCACCAGCATCTTCGACTAGCCAGCTTTGCCGCTTTTTCCCTGCGTGTAAGAAAATGGAATGTCCTTTTTACCATCCCAAAGTAAGTATCATAGATTGAGTTATATATCTATGCAGAGAAAATTTGGAAACACAGGCTGAAATTGAAGTATCTGCTGTTTTCTCTTAGTAATTTTACTTTCAACCCAGGGCATTATATATAAAATAGGATATTTAGTACTGAGTGAGTGAGTGTGAGTATGTGTGTGTGTACATGTCTCTTGTCTGCACATGTGTGTGAGAATCTGAAAGGAATAGATGGGGCAATGAAGAAAAATGGATGATGAAATTTGAGAAGGGAAGAATGATCCAAACAGAAGACAAATAGACAATGTGCACATAAGACATGAAATACACAAAACAAAGCAATGTGTGGAGAGAGGAAAGTTATGCTGGTGGTGATGAAAGATATATTAAGTATGGAAAAGAGAAGAGACACATGAAACATTAGTCTGTGTATTAAGGTCTTAAGTTTACAGATTATATATAATATGGGGGATTTTGGTAATGAAGGCTGGAATCTGTAAAGTAGAAATCGGCACCAGCACCAGGAAACCAAGGTGGTATTCTGTGTTTAGAAAAACTGGCAAATGTAATAAGCAATAGCAATTTGTTAGCTTGTAACATCCTACACAAAATTTCTCATGTTTGGTATTCTGTTATTCTGCAGGATCTTTCCTTTAAGACAATGTATTTCCCATAAAATTTATATTTTTCAAATTCAGCATTTTGTTACTTCTAGTAGTACAATTTTATGTTAAACTCTAGGATAAAGCTTTTGCATATTAGTATTTGCAGCTTCGGTGATGGCTTTTGCATGTGAATGCACAATCAGTGATGCCACAAATAGAAGTTTGCATCAAATGCATTTTTTATCTAACCTAGGAGTTAACTCTAAAAAAAAAACAGTCATAGAAATTTTCCAACTTTGGTTCAGTTGGCTCAGTTTAGATACTTGAATGATCCCTTTGAGGAATTGCATAATTTTAAAGAAAAAGCATACACTAAATAAAATAAGCCAAATTCAATACTTGCAAGCAGTTTTTAAGCCTTTCATTTATCTTGTTAGCACTGCAGGTTTAACACACACTGTACCAGAGTGGATTGCACATACTACCACCCTTCTGTTTCTGTACCACCACGTCATGCCTTGAAATGGACTCGAACACAAACTAGGTAACTAATTCTTTTTACTATCTGTAATTACATGTCTTCATAGAACATGAAAATGTACAGTCAGGCATAAAACCTGTGTAAGTACAGTTCTTTATTGTTTGCTGAACAATGTGTATATTGAAACAATGTGTATGTGTGAAACTCAATTTTGACACATTTGAAAGATGATTTTTAGAGAATACCATTTAAATGAGAGAATGCTTGCTAATTTTCTGTATTTATCTTTCAGTGAATAATTCAGAGATCGCCATTCTAATTTTCCTCATTGTACTATGGTGGTGGCAGGATGCTGGCTGATGGTAAAAGAGGCTGTAAAAATTTACCACCTACTCCGGGCTTTGAATATGTATTGTTTCATAAAATGAAATTGATTACACACTTGAAATATGTAATTTTCAACTGTTGTATATTTAATAACTGGTTTTACATATTTTTACTGTAAAATTGTCTGTAGGAAAGAGGAAATTTGCTTTAATCCTTAATTAAAATACCAAGACAAGCATTTTGTTCTACACGTTGGCCTATTGTCTTTTTTTACTACTGAAAAAGTAGACTTTTCCTTGAAAAATAGGTCATAAACTATCTAGAATAGCTCATACATGCTCTTAGAAGAATGCCTTTTCTTGAAAGTTCTCTTTTCATATGAAATGACAGGCACCATTCTCTCACCACAAACTCTTCTTTTGACTTTCCATTTCTTAATGACTATATTCCTATAATTCCTTAACTATATGACTATATAATTAGATCCCAAGTTGCCATAAGCAGGGGGATCAGAAATCACACCTCGCAGCTGCACCAAGGAATTTATTCCTCAGTCATAACAAGATGCATTCTGGCTGAGCAAGTCAAGGCCATCTCCATGGATACCAGCAATGCCTGGAAGGGAGTGACTTCTGCAACCTGCGAAATTACCTCATTGGAGAATGTGACCGGGTGACTGGGGGGAGTGGGAAACAGGGTCAGAGGCAAGGCGTGAAGGGGGTGAAGTCAGAGTTGGCTTCACCTACGTAATGCTGACATGGTGCTCCTAATAAGACTGGATTTTTATTGTCAGATGGCTTGAGACTCTTAATTGCGTTAAGGCAATTAAGGAACCCTGATACTTCTGACTTTTCATTTCTTAACTTAATGACTATATTCAAAACAGAAATCAGTATGGAAGCTAAAAGCAACCCTCTTTCTCATGAAACTATATTTCAGATCGGGAATTAAAACTGGACTATAGTCCTATGGATGCTGATTAGTGTACATTTAAAGTGACAAAGTTATTCTAAGTCTAAGGTATTCCAGGGACTGTGTGATGCAGATTGCCATTCACTAATGGTATAGAAAAGGCTCCAACCTTGATAATAGCAATTAGTATAACTCATTGCTTGCCCTTCTTTAAAAAAAAAAAAAGAAGCTCTATCCAGTCTCCTAAAGGATCCCCAAGTCCCAAATTGGCATATTGTAGCCTTTGATATGGTACAAAATACTCCCAATTAGTTGTAGTTATCTTAGGGGAAGCGTTAACAGAAGGTGATTTGTTGCAGAGGCTGTGGGAGCACACAGTCCTCCAGGCAATTGTATTCCCTTAGCTGCAATTTATCAAGAGCTCTGTTGCATCCATACTCAGTTTTAGACATTGGTAAAATGAATGATAATTCCCAGGAAAGTTGCAACATGATAAGGCCACTATAAAGGTACACATTCTATCAGGCTTATATAGCATTAGAAAGTACACTTAGAAGTTTATGAAACCTCACCAGCCAAAATTCTGTTGGGCTCTTTGGTTATAGCATTAAAAGATTAAATGGTAACAATGTGTTTTAAATTACATCCATTTTACCTTTTATTGGGTCAGGGCATTGTGTGACACTGTATTGTGTACCTTGTGTTCAATTGTTACTACCTAAGTGTGAGATAGTTATTTTTTAATCTGTTTCTAAAAATAATTTGGGTTTTTAATTATTCTAAGCTGTCCAGTCAATTAGATGATAATTAAACATGAGTTTGAAGAACTCTACCCTATAAAAAGCCTGTGGTTACTACTATTGAGTAGCATCAAAAGTTTGTAGATCTAAATCATATCCTAGTTAAAAGAGCTATCCATAGACCTCAGAAAAAAATTGTGAACATGTGTGAGGCTGAAAAGGGTCACAAAATCATTATCGTATATTCTGGTTCCACTATTAAGCAGATAATATATAAATGAAGAAAATATTATACCATTGTTACATGTTCCAATAGGTGTCCAATACAATCCACCCTAACAGCAAGATGTACAATATTCTGGGAAAGTTGTAAGAGTGCTCCAGATTAATGTCAAAAATTTGCAGGCCACTATAAAAACAAGCCCTGAAAAAGAATAATGTTCCTTGGAGGATACCAAGGAGGAAATTACTGCTTTTCACTACTTGTTTTAAGCACATGTGTCTGATTGTGCAAGGCTGTGGAACAACAAGATTGTTTTTGCATCAATGAGAAATTGATGTTTGAAAAAAAAAAAACATTTTAACAAAAGAACCTCACCTGACTCATGAAGCATAGTAATGGGAATATCATGATTTGAGGCTGCTTTGCAGCCATAGGAATCAGATAATTCATAGTTGATGAGCTAATAATTTTGGGACCATATCAACAAAATGTACAAATGAAGCCAAACAGAAATTTAAGCAAATGTGGATCATGCAGCACAACTGAAATTCTACACACACAAATCTATGACAGAATAGCTGAATCAGAAGACGTTTTCTTTATTGGAATGGTTGTCAAAAGCCCTGATTTTAATCTATTGCACTGTTACATTAAGGTCTGAAGCAAGCAGTGCAAGACAGCCCAAAAATAACAACTTGAAGAAGTTGTATGTATTTCTATGCCAATGTGCAGAATTTACTAAGAGATTCAGAAAATGTTTCGTTGACTCACTGCTCCTGAAGTATATGTTACCAATTACTATAAAAAAAAATCCAGCAAAGGTAGTGAAAGTTGAATATGTTCAATAAAACATTCTACAAAGTTTTATAACAATGCCCCTCACAAAAATATTTTTGTGTGTGTTACTAATTTAACTTGTGTTACTAATTAACTATTAATGTGATTTATATGGAGTTCAAATCACACTGTAGATAACATCTCTACAGGCTTATGGATAAGTTTAAAGGGTTCACAAAGCTGCTTTCTCCATTATATAGTACCACATTATGATCATTTTATCTTGCCTCTTCCTATGGAAACAATAATCCAATTTCAGATAAAAATATTTCTCAACTTTTAATTGCATTGCCTACCATTTCATATTCTTGATCTAAAATACCTTTAATGAATATAAGGCTGCCCATTCTATTGGCTCTGTACAAGTTACTTGAAAGTTTTAAAACAGAGCCACAAATGCTTACTATGAGCAGATGAGAAAGAGATCATCTCTTTTCATATTCTCTACAGCTAAGATTTAAAAAAAAATATAAACTAAGCATATTTCACACCAGTTTATTTAGTTACCAACCACATTTTACCTTGCCAGTTGTTAACAGTGTTTTCTTCCTTTTTTACAGTGGTTTGCATTGCTTGACAATTTTATTTGGCTCACCCATTTTTACACTTGACCTGATTCTTAAAAATAGATGAGTAACTATTAACTCTGATTATCAAGGATTGTGCAAGGTTGCTTGCTGTGTAGTTAATATTTATTTATTTACCAGGCTTATATCCTCCTGCAATTGTAGGATTCTGCAGTTCACAAAATAAGAATGTACAACAAAGTATAAAACATAACATACATCAAATAAGACTGCAACAACGTTGTATTTTCTCCATTCTTCCATGAAAGCTAAATTAGTAATTTTGGACAAATAGCAAATGCTATCAAATAGAGTATAAGAAAACATTCAGTAAGTGATAGGTTTTACAACAGTGCACCTCACAATCTATTTAATTCCATACACAGAACCATGAGTCAATTTAAATTTAAGTACCAATTAAAAGTTACCTCCTTTTGGATATAATCCCAAATTGAGCTTCTGTGTGGAAGATAGAAGCAGTAAGTAAATAAATTTTGCATTTAACCCACTGATAGTTCTGTTTAGATCATTACAATTGTTCCAGGACTCAAAGGATGACAGTACAATGGGATATTTACGGTAAAATAAAAACAATCTTGAAAGTGTGGAGAGCATTGATAGCGTCAAGACATTTTAAAAATCTACTCTGTACATGATTTAATGCAAGTTTGGGATTTAATTTTTAAAAATAGGTCACAAAATTCTTAACATATTGAATAATATTCATGGCCAGTTTGGATCCAATTTGAAATTTTGGAACTAAAACGAAGGTTCTCAAGAAAGCTGAATGCTGTGTTTGATGTATTTCAGTATTACCAAAAGACATTTTGAAACATGTATATTTGGTATAATACATATATTGCACTTCATACTGTCTTTGAGCAATTTTAATTAGAATTATGTATTTTGAAAAGTTAAAGGATGACTCATTACTATTATATAAATTTTTAAAGACTGGTCTCCCTACTTGCAACAGCTTTCCGTTAGTAGCAAAGGTATATTTTCTTAGTGATTATAAAAGTTCCAAATCTCTTAGAAGTGGAAAACGTTGTAGGGTTGGAAGGTGCTGTGCAGGCCCACTAAGTCCAACTTCCTTATGGAATGGAAGACTGGAATCCAAATTGAAGCATCACTGACAGATGGCTAATAGTGACGTGAATGGGAACTATCATCTTGGTAATTGTTTCTAGTTCAGATTGGCTTCATATTTAGAAAGTTTATCCATTAACAATGCATTGGAATTTGCCTTCCTGTAATTTGATTTTTTTAAAAAATTCATCTCCATTCTGGAACAATAAGTAATAAGTCTTGGTTTATTGTAAACAAGGTTTTTCAAGTGTTCTAAGAATGTTACATATTCTGCCTCAGTTTTGTTTTGTCAAAGCTAAAAATTCCAGTAATCACTTCCTATTCCAATAACAAGTACTGTTGCCAAACCAGGAATTTCCCCAATCCAGTGTACATTTTATTTCTATTTCTATTATTTCTATTTGGTTGTTATTTTCAGCTAAATGATCAAGATCTTGTTGAATTCTACTTCTTGAGATTTGTGCCATCATTAAATTTAATGAGCATTCTTTAAATTTCTCTTTGCAAGACATTTATAAAAACGTGAAAACACAGGATTGTAGACTGAAATTTGTGACATCCCTCTTGAAATTTCATTCTAGTTTGATGAGGAAACATTAATGCTCAGAGCACCCTCCGCTTATGTATTCACACAATTGTTATGCTATTCATCTCACAGTAACTTGCTAATCAACATCTCATGGGGCACTTCGTCAAAAAGTTTAATGAGACAAAAACTCATTACATCTGCAGTATACCGATAACAACTGAACTAACAATTTACCCAGTCAAAAAATAATGGGACAAATTCAGTCTGAAAACAATTATTATGACAAAATCATGCTGGTTAAAATTACCAGAGTTTACAGATATCTTCAAATTGGTCTTTTTAGAATCTGTTCTAGAATCTCCCAAGGTGTCACATTGATTTTTAGTTACCTGCATCTTCCTCCCCTCCTCCCATACATCAGTTTTCAAAGATAGGCATAAAAACTAGCCTCCATTTGTTTGAAACTCCTACTCTCCAGGTGTTTCCAAAGATAATATGTAACATCAACAAGCTCTTTCAGTACCAAGGGATCTAATTTATCTGGTCCTAGAGTTTTATGTTAGTTCATAATATATTCCCTGCTGATATTTTTATCAGTTTCAAAACTTCAGTTCTGTTCATTCATTCATTCATTCATTCTTCCCTTCACAATTGCCTGGTGAAACACAAATTCACTTATTGGAAAAGACTGAACTTAGGTAGTTTCTCTTTGATAATCTCCACTGAGCCGCTGGTATATTTGTTTTCCCTTGTATTTCCCTTATATTCCCTGAAGAAGACGTTTTTGTTCTTGGCATATTTCACTAACCTAAACTCAGATACTGAGTAAAGTCCACATAATTAAAAATCCCCATCTTTACTACTTCAACTTGCAATTTGAAAGATGTGTGCATTTGTTTTTGGAAAACGTTTGTCTCCTGGTTGGGTAGGCAGTAACAGATATCATCAATTCTTCCATTTAGCTTTAATTCTGATAATCTCTATAGTAACGCCAAATTTATTTACAGTACTTGGATTCTGGGGCATTTGTAATATACAGTGTGACTTTCTTCTGCTTGGGGACATATTCCATCTTTTAATTATAAACTTTATATACTTATAAAATCAGTATCCCTAAAGGTGCACAAATAGTTGCTAGGGAATTCATAAACTCTGGGCAGGGAGTTAGCTTCAAGGGATAAACTGTTTATCTGTGAAACAAAAGGCTGTGATCCAGCCAAACCTTCATTTTTTTCAAGATTGGATATTTCTTTCTAGCAAAAGTTGCTTCCTATGGCTTCTTAATTCTCCCACCCCAATTCTTTAGATCTGTGATGGTGAACCTATGGCACGCATGCTAGAGGTGGCACGCAGTGCCCTCTCTGATGGCACATGGGTTGTTGCCAGCCAGCTAGTCTTGAGATCTCTGCCACGCATGTGCGGGAGTGGGGCGCATGTGTGGAGGGCCACACGCAAATGGGGGGACAGGGCACATGCAGGGGAATGCTTGCATGTGTAGGGGGCTGCGCACATACGTGGGGCGGGGCATATGCACTGGGCCACTTGCACATTGCATTTTGGGGGTCTGGCCATGCATGCGAGCGCTTTGGGTACTCAGTCCAGAAAAGGTTAGCCATCACTGCTTTAGACACATCTCTTCCTACAAGGATTTTTACACCTGTTAAGAAAAACATGACAATGCATCTTGAATAGATAAGTATTGGTCACTGGACAGTCTAGTTACCACTACAAATAGGAGACTCAAACTTTTATTTTTTGTATGTTCGCCTGATAGAAAATAGAATGGTTGAATGAAATGAATATTATACTTGTCTGGCAGTAAAATATTTATGATCTAGTCTTTCATTTTATCAATAAAGGAGAATATTAGTAGCTCAGAGTTGAAATGTGGGGTCCTTGGTGCTCTCTGAGCTTGGTTGTTATTTTATATCAGTATGACATTTTCACCCATAATTATACTTTGTAATTTGCTTGTCTTATAGGATGTTGACCACAGCCATAGCAATTGTCTCCACATTACTCAGTCTTTGTTAGCAAAAATTAATAGTCAACATTTACTATATTCAGGGTTTACAGATATGTAATGTAATATGTGTAGTGACTTGGATGGAAATTTTCAAGCTACTTTTTATATGCCATTAAGAGCTTTTCTCACTAGCAACAAACTTTCAACAATAAAGGGGAATACCTACCTTACTGTTAAAAAGAAAGGATTTAAATAAACTGATAAAATCTTTCCATCTCATGTCATATTAAACTCAACCACAAACGAACATAAGTTTATTTAAAGCTGTTTATAGGGTACCCAGGGTAAGAAATGCAGTTTCACAGTCAAGAAATATATCTTAAAATAATCCATTGGCATAGTTCAACATATTAAATGGGAGTATAATTTTTTACCCCAGGAATACTGTAACAGTCCTCTATGGTTCATATGAAGCTGGTTTTAAAACCAATTCATTTTCTAAACCAGGTTGTAATATGGCATACGCCTGATGCCCCACCCTCCATCTCACCCTAAAACTTACACAATTCATCATTGTAATAGATTCCTTAGTGTTCTCTATGCAATAATATATGCAGAAATTTGAAAAATACATAATAAACATTACATTGCATTCTTCCTAAATGCAACAGTCTCTTTTTACTACAGAGTAGTAATAATTTCCTCTTACAGAAGAAGGAAATATCCAACTTATAGCACCTATTAAACATTTCAGGAAAACACTGGGAAGGTTATATATGCATTAGCCAAGAAAACATGCAAATTAGTCCTAACTGAACCATTAAAGCATGCTTCTTGGTTTATCCTCTAGTATCTTTTAGTATTAAAAATATACATTTCAAAACCAAGGTTTACATCTAGGACTCAAAAAAATAAGAACACTTGGATTTGGTTTGCTCATTTCACAGTGACTGGATAAACCAAGATAGGAGGAAGCAAAGCCTAGAATAAAAAACATTTATACAAAGAATCGTCTATCATTTTCAGGGTTATACATATAGGCTGAAGTTCATAGGTTCAGGTATTCATGACACATTGCAGAACATTTTCAGGTCAAAATTCGCAAACAAACGAATCACTAGAAATTGAATTTCTTGCAATGATCCCACTGTTAAGATTGGAAATTGTCATATTTAGGCTTTGTATGGCTTCGGTGTACCTTATGTCATTAAAATTGCATGATTATGTTTGGGAAAGGTAAACCTTGTACATGATTATACAGGAATCAAAATAAAAACCTTCAAATATATGTGGAATGTTAGTGTAGAAGGGAAAGGGGAGTAAATTAGTTTACTCTTTCTTAATAGCTAACTCCTTAAGAGGGAGGATTTGTGGTCTCTTTAAATTGTAACACACACAAAAAATGCATGTTTAGTTTCATCAAACTCCGTTTAGTGAAAGGACTGGTATTTTGAAGGCTGTGGTTGGGTAATATAATACAACGCTCTTCTCCCAAAAGGCAAGAGCAGTCACAAAATCCTAAACCACAAGTACAGCTTCTACAGCTAGAATCGTGTTGTTTTTCCTCTTGTGTTTGGAATATCCATGGATTCCCCTCCCCTGAAAGCATATTTGAAGAGATGCACTAGTAAACTGAGTTTCTATCCAGCATGTTCCCGAACTCAGTTGAACTACCACAATGCACTCTACAAGGGTGTGCCTTTGAAAATCACTCAGAAGCTACGGCTTCCAGAATGTAGTGTGGCACAAGAGGTGATAGATATTTCATAGTATGCACATTATGTCCCCACTACTTTTTGAACAACACTAGTTACCCATTGGCCTTGGGGTGCAATTTATTGTGCTGTTTATCACCAAATAAAACTCATAGGGTCTGTGATTCAAGGAAATGCCTTTTTCTCTCAGTTGGGAGAAGTTAGATTGTAGTCATGACAGCCGCCCTTAAAACTCCTCAAACCTTGGAGATTCCCACTTTGATTGGTTCTTTACACAATTAAAAGAAAATGACTATGTTGTTTTTCATCAGATGGAGAAGGATTGCTGAAAAACTCATAAAAGGAAAAGGCTTGCAGTGAGTTTACTATTTACTATTATCAAAAAACCCATGCAAATAAGCAATAATAACATACACTTGTGGTGGGTGAGTTGTGTGTGTGCATTTGAGTCAGTTTTGACTCTGGACAACTGCCAGAACTAGTCCCTGCAGTTTCTTCACAAGGTTTTTCAGAAGTCGTTTGCCATGGCCTATTTCTGAGGGCTGAGAGAAAATGTCTAGTCCAAGGTCTCTCACCTGGCTTTGTGCCTCAAGTGGAACTAGAACTCACAGTTTCCTGGTTTCTAGCCTGTTGCCTTAACCACTACACCAAACTGGCTTCCATTTAGGGCACACAAAAAAAAAAGTGGATGAGGAACCCTCGGCATGCTATGGAAAGCAGGTACAATGCTTGGGTTGACTGACATTATGGAACCCCAAATTAAAACTTATTATCTGTAATTTGAAGGTATAAATTGAGAATATATTGTTGTAGGTACCTATGGCCTCCACTCTTCTCAGTATTATTATATATGCTTTCAAGTATTCAAACAGGGAAAGAGAATTCTTATTTAAGTAATCAAGTTCATTTAGATGCCATGTTATCTGGGATGCTCTGTACTGAACATTAAACATAAAGGAAACTCTTCTGGAATCCCAGATTAGCTAAATGTGTAAATATCCTGACATGTGTTAGGCATCTGATTCTTTTTATGATGGCAATTCTGGATCATTAACTCACCTAATATTTGTTTTTTTCAATTGCCTGAAGGTATATTTTGGTTCGGAATTCTTGGTAATATAGTTTTCATTACTTTGTAAATGACTTTGGGATTTTTGAAATGAGAAATGGTATGCAGTTTTTTTTTATTTAAAAAAAATAAGAATTGTGAAGGGGAGGTGTAGAAACTTTCTTTGCTGTTTTTTTATATAAAACACTTTTAACTGACCAATTGACAGGGCAGGTGTGCTTCTAGTTTTACTTCTTAAAATGAATATTATTGTTTCAAAGTCAGACAATAAAAATCTATTTTACAATGGAATCCATTTTCACAGAGAAGACTTAATTCTCCCGATAGGAAGGATTTATAGTCACAGAAATGTTTTGGTTCTCATTTGCCAATGTTTTCAGCCTACATGATTATGCTGAAGTTATATTTTGATTCCAAAACAGAAGTTTTTTAAAATCCCTTAATTAACTACTTTGTAATTTTTCTATTGACAGGTACATTTTCATTCAGAAACAATCACGAATGTGTTCTGAGGGTAAAAATGATGGGAACATGCATGTATGAACTGGTTCTGAATCGAAGAATAAGAAATTTAACTATTCTTATTTCTTCTGTTTAAAAAACACTATAAAATACAATTGAATTACTGATTTCACTTTGCATTTACAAAGTTTTCATCCAGAAATGCAAGGAATATGGAAGAAATAATTCCTATTGCTATTGATTTTTTTTTCTTTGCAACTGTTGACAGTCAATACCTTCCATATACCTGAACACTAAAATGAACTCAATCCTGTTTTGTTCAGCATTGCTTTGCAAACAAGCACTTGCTCATTCACTGATAACACATTTATTCACAAGGCAAAAAACGGAGTTAGATCTTCTAGGTTTTGGGCAAGGCACTCAAAATGTGAGCAAATGTGATTCTGCTCACAGAATTTATGTAATGCTCAAATGATACAAAAACAGTAAATCTGCGTTGAAGAATGGGCTCCTACAGGTCTACCTGCAGTCACCCAATAGAATTACAATTCAGGCTTCAAAATCAATACAATTATGTAGGTCCTGGAAGCTAAAAATTCTTAAGGGGTGGGTGGGTTGATTGGTTGAAAGTTGGGAAACTAAGCGAATCTTTTTGAGGTCCACTCTTTTTTTTTAAATTTTATTTTCACTTTAAAAAAAAGTTTTAAGACCAGCACAATAGTTTGCTTTTCAGTAATAAAATAAGAATTCATCTGATGATTATTAGTACCCAGTATTTAAACATCCATGATGAAAGTAAATGCATCAATATACTGTACAGATTTAGATCAGAAATAATATATCTTGAGTATAAGCCACAATTTTATTGGGGCATTGTAGACTGAGCCCAAACTCCTTCTTTATCGAAGTATTTCAATATCTGGCAGTGAGTGGGAAAGAGATATAGGCTATCCGATATGCTAGAAATATGATTAATTTCAAAATATTTGTAGTAGTTCATGCTTCTGATAGACTCTAGTCAGACAGACAGATCACTACCTGTCTTTATCAGCACCATTTCTTGAAGCATGAGGGGCACTGGAGAATTCTCTTTGCAGCCGTTGTGCGCTAGTAACTTCATGTCCCAATCCCATCCACTGGAGAAGGTCTCCATGTCTATTAATGAGGCATATGGACACATTTCCAGACAAATATACTAGGTTTTTAAACAGAAGGGAAGGAAAAAAGAATAAGACATGTTAAGGATTAATGAGTTTCAAAAGGGAAAATGTTAGTTCAAAATACCCTATTTTTCACAGTATAAGACACACTTTTTTCCCTCCTGAAAGAGGCTGAAAATTTGGGTAAGTCTTATACTCTGAATGTAGCTTTTTGAAGCTTTTTTCAGCCCTAATGAGTGAAGCAATCTCCGCTTCCCTGCTTTGCCTGCTCCCTCCGAGTCTCAGTTGTGAAGCTTTTTTTCAGCCCTAAGGAGGCGCTAGCGAGTGAAGCGATCTCCGTGGTTTGCCTGCTTTTCTCATTGCTTCTCTCTCCAAAGATCACTTGTGCTTTAGAAGCTGTTTTTTATCCCCAAGCAGGGAATAAAAACCAGCAAACTATTGTGCTGAAGCTGACCAGACTAAGGACACTAGCCAGATGAATACCTGGTAGACAGATTTTTTTTCCCTATTTTCCTCCCCAAAAACTAAGCTGTGTTTTATACTCCAGTGCGTCTTATACTCCAAAAAATACGGTACATATCAAGAATGCTGCAGACCAGCAATTATTACATAAGTTTCTGCTAATTCAATAGTTACTTGAGTGCAGTTTCAGAAAAAGCATAAGATGTGTTGATACAATTTTGTCTCTTTTTCATATTCAAATGAAGATTAACATACCTGCTATCATCTCCACCAGCACTGACAACATATCTGTCACCACTTGTAAAGCGAATATTGGTCACATGAGCCGAGTGACCTAAAAATCTTTTATGTTTTGCCTTCAATAAACAGAAAACTTCCTGTTAGTTTAACACTTTTTTAAAAAACCTTGACTTTATTGAAATCATTATTAATCAGAGCTCATTACTGAATTCCTTCTCTTTTTATTGCTCCCCCGCTATAAAACTATTCCTGCTACCACATTAAATATAGCATCTCTTTCTGGAGGATAATTTTATGTCTATTCAATACAGTTCCATAGCAGGTGTATATGCTTTTTTTCTTTTGTCCCCTTTCACTGCTTTATACAAGTTTTCTTGGGTTGTTTTGGCAGAACGGGAAGGCAAAATTGGGTTGTTGCTCAACTCTTTATGAAGGGACAATAACAACTAAATTTGTATTTATACCCTTTGGGATCTCAACATGGTATAATATGGTATAACTATAATGTTAGAGTTAAAAAAATGTTGGTGGCCATGACAGAACAATCAATTCTCTCTCTGCAACAGACATTTAAAAACAGGCAGAGTTCAAACAGTGTCACTGGGCCCATCATCTTAATATTTCTGAGAACATCGTGTAGATGCTCTGGTGGCTTTCAAATTCAGTTATCAAAAGACCTGGTGATTGAAAGAAAGAAAAAGCTCTTACAAACTTCTCTGGACAAGGGAAGTCGAACAACTTGACCATTCCAAAATCATCGCCTGTTACAAGGCTAATTCCCGAGTGAGAAACACAGGCACAATTTACATCCGCTTTCTCAGCATGCCGGGACCAAATTCCAACAACTTCATCTCCTAGAATGCTGAAATAGAGGGAAGAGAAAAGAACCAAGAGGATATTCTGATGTAGTGGAGGAAATAAAGAATAAGGTGTACTATATTGCCAGAGCTGAATCATTCTAACATTAACTATTATCATTATTTCATGACCTTATGCTAGTAGTCTTCATTTATATATTTACTGTGTTTTGTCCATAAATGTCCTCTTATCAGGAGGGAGATTGTGCCAAAGAGTAGGGTCACCTAAATAGAAGGCACCTCTCTGAAGTCCCATTAGAATAGATGATAATATTTGAGGGAAGGGACCTGGAAGATCACCCTCCCTATCTTACCTAGTTAGTACTCTCAGGGAGAAGCAATCCAGCAAATAACTTGGGGATGTGCCATGTAGAGCTTTAAAAATGATAACTAGCAAGTTCAATTGCACCCAGAAAACAACTGGCAGCTATTGTAACTTGCTGAGTTAGAATAGGGGTGTAACTGAGATGAACCACTAGTCATTTGGAACTGCACCCACTGCAGCATGCTCAAATTGTTGCAGCTTCCAGATGTCAACCTTTTGCTGAGGTTTGTTTTTACTGTTCTTCCTTTAGTTGGGGAAATTCAATAAGCCATAAAGCTGAACTACAGAATTCCAAAATCTTTCTAAACTGTCCCAGCCAGAATGACTAATAGTGTGGTTCTTCAACATCTAAACTCCTGTTGTAATCTAGAGATATTTATTTTATTTATTTATTTTATTAAATTTTTATACCACCCTTCTCCTGCTGGACTCAGGGCGGTGTACAGCCTAGAACAAAAAACATCCCAATACAAAATTTAAAATTTTAAAAGAATTAAACAAATTTTGGCCCAAAATTTAAAACCTCCCGACTAAAAACCATTTACAATTAAAAATATCTAAAGGGGGAGGGGGTTTACACCAGCCCAGCTTGATGAAATCCAGAAAGGGACGCAACTGGTGAATCAGGCGAACCTGATGAAAAGCCCCCCTGGCTACGGTCGTCATATGCTCTTCTAAAGACAGCAGTGCATCCAGGAGGACGCCCAAGTTGCGAGCCCTCTCCATGGGGGCCAGTAACTCGCCCCCAATAGCCAGCGATGGTACCAGCTGGCTATATCGGGACGCCGGAAGCCATAGCCTCTCGGTCTTGGAAGGGTTGAGTCGAAGCCTGTTTCTCCCCATCCAGACCCGCACGACCTCTAGGCACTGGGACATCACTTCAAAGACATCATTGGGATGGCCTGGGGTGGAGATGTACAGCTGAGTGTCGTCAGCGTACTGATGGAACTCCACCCCAAAACCACGGATGATCTCGCCCAGCGGCTTCACATAAATGTTGAACAGAAGGGGTGAGAGGACCGACCCCTGCGGCACCCCACAAACAAGGCGCCTCGGGGTCGACCTCTGCCCCCCTGCCAACACCGACTGTGACCAGTCAGAGAGATAGGAGGAGAACCACCGTAGGACGGTGCCCCCCACCTCCAACCCCTCCAACCAGTGCAGCATGATACCATGGTCGATGGTATCAAAAGCCACTGAGAGATCTAACAGGACTAGGATAGAGGAACAACCCCTATCCCGAGCCCTCCAGAGATCATCCACCAATGCGACCAATGCCGTTTCCGTGCTGTACCCAGGGCTGAAGCTGGACTGGAGCAGATCTAGATAGACAGCTTCATCCAGGTACCGAGAAAGCTGTCGTGCGACCACACTCTCAACAACCTTCGCCACAAAGCGAAGGTTGGAGACTGGACGATAGTTAGCCAAAACAGCCGGATCCAGAGAGAGCTTCTTGAGGAGGGGCCTCACCACCGCCTCTTTCAAGGTGGATGGCAAGACACCCTCACTCAAAGAAGATACAGCTGCAGATTAATGCAGTTAATGAATTCCAAAATAGTCACATTACAGCAATGGAATTCACAGCATTTAAAAGGATATTTCTATGGAAAATAAAATAATTGGTTCCAGCTTGACAAGTAGGCAATTAAAATTTCAAATTTTTAAAAAATATATTTTATGTTTCTTAATAAAATGCTTTATGATAGTAAAAGAGGACAAACCCATATGCAAAGAGTACCTGCTCTCTCCTGTTATTTGAAAATGATCCTCTACTTTTTTCAGCTTTCCTTGAATGGAACCTTCCTTTTCTCCTTTTTGCACATGCAAAATGTCTAAACTCCCAATGACAAATGTGCATGCGCTAGGTTTACTCCATGTGCGCTAAAATATCTTCATAAACGACTTAGATGAGTGACTAGAAGGGGAACTCACCAAATTTGCAGATGATACTAAGCTGGCAGGAATAGCTAACACCCTAGAAGATACACTCAAGATCCAGATGGATCTTGAAAGATTTGAACACTGGGCCCTATCTAACAAAATGAAATTCAATGTAGAGAAAAGTAAAGTCTTACATTTAGGTAAGAAAAACCAAAAGCACATATATAAACTGGGGGAAACCAGGTTTAATAGCAGGTACTGTGAGAGGGATCTTGGAGTCTTAGTGGACAATCAGCTAAATATGAGCCAGCAGTGTGCAGCGGCACTAAAAAAGCCAATGCAATCCTAAATTGCATTAACAGAGGGATACAATCAAGATCAAGTGAGGTACTAATATCACTCTATAAAGCCCTAGTAAGACCACACCTAGAGTACTACATCCAGTTTTGGTCACCACACTATAAAAAAGATGTTGAGACTCTAGAAAAAGTGCAGAGGAGAGCAACCAGGATGATTAGGGGACTGGAATCTAAAACATATGAAGAACGGTTACATGAACTGGGCATAGCTAGTCTAGTGAAGAGAAGGACCAAGGGAGACATGATAGCTGTCTTCCAATACTTGAGAGGCTGCCAGAGAGAGGAGGGGGTCAAGCTGTTTTCCAAACCACCTGAAGGCCAGACAAAGAATAATGGATGGAAACTGACCAAGGAGAGATTCAACCTAGAAATGAGGAGGAACTTTCTGACAGTGAGAACAATCTATCAATGGAACAGCTTGCCTTCGGAAGTTGTGGGAGCCACATCACTTGAGATTTTCAAGAAAAGATTCGACTGCCATTTGTCAGAAATGGTGTAGGGTCTCCTGCTTGAGTGGGGGGGTTGGACTAGATGACCTATAAGGACCCTTCCAACTCTGTTAATCTGTTAAATCTGTTAACCTTGCATTAATTGAATTAAAATGCTCCCGTTAAATGCAACCTGGTATCACTTTATAGTTTGTACTATAAAGTACTATGCAGCCTACCTATATGCAGAAAGTATATAGGTTTATGTTTTCAGTGGGAAATGATATGTCATATTTTAAACAGTTGATCTACCTGGTCCAAGTGGCCCATGTTATTCTATCAATCACAGTTTGATCCAGAAGTTGTTTTCCTGAAGGCACTTCATAAACTTGCCTTTTGTAAGACCCAGTAGACACCTTTAAGAACACATAGAGGGAAATATAAACTTTCTAAGTATTCTAATAAATCTGTGTAGTCTATAAGAAAGACTTTGCATTCTTAAATTGGATTACCAACATGTTACAAAAACTGAAGGTCCGCTGTGATTTTAGCCAGGATTTTAAACATTTTAACTAACAAACTTATAACTCGAGATTTTAACTTTTTACATATATATATATAGATAGATAGATAGATAGATGCAAAAAATTAAAATCTCGGGTGTTTTCCCGCGTCATGTTAAATAAGTTAGTTAAAATGTTTAAAATTCTGGTTAAAATCCTAGCTTAAAATCTTCCAAAAATCCTTACAGAGCACTCTGCAAGGTCCTTTAAAACCTTAGCTAAAATCCTACCAGTACCTTAAAAGTTTTTCTTTCTAGCAACGTTTCGACAGGCTCACAACTCTGTCATCTTTAGGCTCTTGTTTAGTTTAGAAGCTATGGGTGTGTTGCGAGGTCGGAGCTGTCGCTTTTCTTTGTTTGCTGCTGCTGACGTATGCTGTTTAGCCTGTAACTCTGTGCCCTGATTGGAGGACAGCAGTTTTTCTTCCTGCTTCCTCATCCTGGCTGTTTGGCTACGTGTTACAGGCCTAGCTTTCTCAGGTTCTCTATTATTATCTATCTGCTGTAGAAAGGAAAGGATTCTGGTAGGCATCCCAGCACCCTTCATTGTTAGTTGAGATCTCAGCCTGTCTTCTGGCTCGATCCTCTCTCTCTCCCTATTGCTAGCCACCCTCTGCAAAGAGGGAAGAATTCTGGCAGGCCTTACAATACCACTGGTTGCTTGTTGGAATCTCTGCCTCTCTTCTGATGTTAACATGATGTTTTTCTCAGTGCAGGTCCCCAAATGCCTCTAGGTTATCAAGCAACAACAACAGGAAACAACAGGAAACAGCCTGTCTCAAGACCAAACTCTTACAAATTCATACTGGGGTCAAAACATCCAAGATATAACCTTTAAAAAATGTTCATGATATAAATGAAAAAAAACATTATTTCCTTACCTGAAGATAACAGCTATCTGCAGAAAAGTCCATTTGAATAACAAAGCTTGGAATGTCTTTGCAGTAGCTGGCTCTGTTAAGAGGAGGCCCCAGGGTCAGGTCATAAAAGTCAACTGCGTTTTCACTTGAACCCACTGCTAAGTAATGGGCATCTGGGCTGAACCTATGTAGGGAAAAACAAGTTTTAAATTCATTCTAATTTACAAAATAACTCATCTAAAAAGCTCAAGATGTTAAACTGCTGTTTGAATCTTTTCTGCTGCAAATGACCTATGCAAGTCATTTTCATGCTTCAGGGTCTTTTATTTTCTTCTGCTTGCACGTACACCTTTATTACTGCTGCTGAACGCAAAGCAAAGGGAATTCAGTTCAGTTTCTCCTCCTTGGAAATGGTGAATGGTGGTGCTAGAATTCTCCATCTGCTAAGCCATTAATAGATGAATGAAATGCAATAGCACCATATCTGGATAAGCATCATATCCAGTAATAAAACCCAAGTGCAGATGTTACATTTCTTCCTGGGGCAAATGAGAGATACTGTATATGATTTCTCACCTGATGTCTTGGATAGCAGATCGTCTGTCTCTTTTCTTCCCCCATATCTTCAGAGAGTTCACTAATAGGATAATAAACTCTCCATTTTTCATGCCAATTGCTACCATGTCACCTTCCGGGCTGTATGATACGGTGCGTGCTGCATAGCCCAAATTGACTTTGTTCACCATTTTCTGCAATAGTTTCAAAAAATGAAATTAAAACTAGAATAGCATGTTAAATGACACAATGCTTTCTTTTTCTATAAATATTAGCTTAACTCCTTGGTAATGCTTTACAAAGTCAAGTTGAAAAATGTATCATTTATTTAAATACCAAGCCACCTAGAATCGCTTCGGCGAGAGGAATGACACAGAAGTTAATAAATAATTTACTGTAACTTCTTAAATGCCATTTTTACACCTACTTTGTCAGCAATATCCCAAAGTCTCACTGTTCCATCTTCTGCAGCAGAAAGAAAAAGATCACGAGACGGGTGGGTTGCCAATCCCCAGATAGGCCCATCCATGTGCCCATTAATCAGAATGTTACAGGCAGCATTTTTCTCTCCAACTTCTATGATTTCAGCATTTCGTGTCCCAACAAGAATTTTTCCCTAGAACAACAATGTAATGGTCATTACATAATTTAATAATTTATAATTTTAATAATTATACATATAATAAACAGAGAGCCAACGTAATGCAAAAGGAATAGCATTTAGATTTGTATACCGCTTCATAGTGCTTTTACAGCCCTCTCTAAGTGGTTTATAGAGTCAGCATATTGCCCCCAACAATCTGGGTCCTCATTTTATCGACCTCAGAAGGATGGAAGGCTGAGTCAACCTTGAGCTGGTGAAATTTGAACTGCTGAATTGTAGCTAGCAGTCAGCCGAAGTAGCCTGCAGTGCTGCACTCTAACCACTGCGCATCAGGTTAAAAATGGAGAAATTGTAAGTTTGAAATCCATCTTCAGTTAGAAATAGAGACAAGGAAGAAACCTCCAATGAGATCCGTAATGGATGCCATCATAGCACAGGGAAACAAAAAAAAAAAAAGTATAACAATATCCTTAGCTACTGGTTTATTTCTAGTAACTACATATATAGTCAAACTGTGGTGGATTGTGGTCTGGATTCTCAGGAGGGAGGGGCTGCTTTCCAGTAGGCAAAGAGGCAGCGGAGCTTGGAAAATGTAACCCTCAGAAAGAAAATTAAAACAGGTCTCCTTAGCTATTCCCAAATCATATTTGTAGTTATGCAAATAGTTGCTTTAATTCGGCAAGATTCTGTCTATAGATAAACCACTCTTAAGCAACTCCACATGTCGTTCTTGGTACTTGAGACCTGACACAAACTAAAGATTTACTCAATTATTTAAAAATAAAATCTATTATACAGTATTACCTCAGCTTTTAATATCATTCTTAGTAATTTTTTTTGCTCTTTTTGTGGTCAGCAGCAACATATCAAAGCAGGAGATACACATAATCATGGTAAAAAAAATTAAAATGGTGGCCACAGCAGCCCGATTGAAATTCTGCCTGTTTTTCATGTGCAATGCATTTGGCAGCTTTGATTGCACTGTTGTGGTAACCATTTTGACTTTACCATCTGTCAAAATTTAGGATTATAATAAATAATTTATTTATAGTATGCATTTATTTGATTTCTATAGCTGCCCACATCAACAAAGAACTTTTATTACTATTGCCAGGCTCTTGCTATGATTTAACCCTTACTCAAAAATTTCTTCAGCAGAAGAAATAAGATATTTTCTGATACTATAAGACAAAGAGAAACTCATTTAATCATTGAGAACATGTGACAGGGTTTATCCTAGGACTACTCTATCTGGGTTGCAAACATCTGGATGCCTACTAGATAGCAAATACTGAAAACTCTAATTCTGTACTGTCATCTTGTGGTTGCCATGAAGGCTGCAGCCAGAGTCTTAGGAGTATCCAAAAGTGGCGAGGACAAAAATGAAATATATTTGTGTTCGTTTAACTTACATTTAAACTTAATTTAAATAGGGATGTCAGAATAAGTGCATTCAGGCTACATAACCATTTTCAGCTTTTGACATATTGAAAATGAAAGCCGAATGGCATTTTCTGGACGATTGTGTTACACTTGGCAACAAATAGTCAAATCCATCAGATGTAATTTTCCTCCAATGTTAAAAAAAATAATCAGAGAAAAAGCTTTTGTAAAGTTGTAAATAAATTTCAAAGATTTGCAAAGATCTACCTGAAATTCACATTCACAGTAACACACACACAATGCATAAAAATCCCCAATTGCCCCCTTATGCGACCACATGGACACTGGCCCACCAAACTACTTTGGAAAAATGATGACCTAAGTGTTGTCTGTTCCTGGATTTAGAGTCTAATTTTCCAGTATGGCATACATAAGCACCACATGCCCTCCAAATCTCCCATACCCTCTGCCAAATTCCTTTCCCATATGATTATTTTTATTTTTTAAAATTAGAAAAAAATAAATGGGCAGCTGGCGGATGTCAGGTAAACCACTTACCTTAACCCTATTTTGTATTTCTAATAATGTACCCAACTCCTTCAAATACTCAATCAGCTTTCTCAATAAATAAAATAATAGGTGACCAAAGCCGATACCTTATTTGAGAATGTACTTGCTTCCTGTGAATGGAAAGGTAAACTGAATTACCTTGGAAGCTAGGGAGATGGGAAGCTTTTGGATAATTGCAATATGCTGTACATGAGGCTGCCTTTCAACGCACCTTGGAAGCTGCAGCTGGTCCAGAACAGAGTGGTATAGGCAGTGTTGGGCATGCCTCATTATACCACTCCAGTGGTGAAATACAAATTTTTATACTACCGGTTCTGTGGGGGTGGCTTGATAGGCGTGGTGTGGCTTGGTGGGTGGCTTGGTAAGCGTGGCAGGGGAAGGATATTGCAAAATCCCCATTCCCTCCCCATTCCTGGGGAAAGGGTATTGCAAAATCTCCATTCCCACCCCACTCTGGGGCCAGCCAGAGGTAGCATTTGCCAATTCTTTGAACTACTCAAAATTTCTGCTACTGGTTCTCCAGAACCTATCAGAACCTGCTGGATTTCACCCCTGTACCACTCTCTGCAAACTGCATTAGTTGCCAGTGGGCTTCCAGGTGGAATTCAAGGTGCTGTTTATTATCTGTAATACCCTTCATGGCGTGGGGCTATATTATTTGAGGAATCTCCTGTATCCCATGATTTTTACTAATCCAGTTAAGATGGGAAAGAACTGGTGTGCTTTGGATCCTCTTGATGAAATAATACCCTCTGTCAGGATCCAGAAAGTGACCCTTCTCTATCGCAGTGGAACAATGCTCCCCCAGATATGTGTGCCTGCCATCCTGATGACCTTCCAGAAGTTCTTTAAAAACTTGGCTGTTCTCCCAAGTCTTGGGATACAGTGGTTGTGGAGGCCTGCTGGTTGTGTTTCATGATATATAGATTGTGGTTTGTCTAGATGCATATGATCATTCTTTTGTTTTCTGTCTTTGCTTTCTATTTTTTTAAGTATAAGATGCCCCAAGTAATTCTAGAAGCAAATGGCCTCTAAATTTAATAAACAATCAAATAAGGTTGTTTTTCGTTAGTCACACCCATTCTGACCACCTATTGCCATGACCACCTATTAAAACATAAAATTAATGTTTTGCGACTGGAAACACAATGGCAGCCATTTGAGGGCAGTGCCTATAACATGGTTTCAAAATTCTGTGCCTACCATTATGAAGCAACAGGAATTAATATATTGTAATTTGTTAATATTTTAAATGTATTAATATTTTAATATGTAGCATTAAATATATTAAATATGGTGTTAATATTTTACTATAACTTTTAATGAAAAATCATGGAAACAAGGCATAATACCAGTTATTTGTATATCTACCTTTGGCCTGAGCCATTCTGCATTATTGACTTACTTTGCCTCTGCACACAGAACGGACACAGTCAATTACTTGTCCCGTCTCTAATCTAAAGGCTCGACATCTTCTAAGTTCCTGATCCCATAGCTTAATTGCACCTCCTTCTTTTGATCTAGCCAAAATAAAAAAGAGTCTTTTCAGAGAAAGTAGATGAAAGTCCCTAAGACCAAGTACTGTTCATTAACTTAAACAATTCAACAGAAATTCAGTATTTAAAAAATGATAACACCTCAGTTTGTGCTTTTCAAAAGTTATTGTGGTATTTAAACCAATTTTATAATACCAAAATGATTTTTGCATGGCTGATAAGTGATATCTGATTATGTAGGAGTTTGCATTTAATGATCTCAGGATATAAGAATTAAGATTACTGTATTAGTAGCTGAGAATAAGATTATTTCCTTCACTTCGTATAAAGACTCCCTAAACTTTTAATGTAATCTAGAACAGTGTTTGTCAGCCTTGGCAGCTTGAAGATATGTAGACTCCAACTCTCAGAATTTTGGAAGTTGAAGTCCACACATCTTCAAGCTACCAATTGTGTGTCTTTAAGCACACAATTAATTATTTCCTTTGCAGCATAAATTTTTTACTATAGTCTATAATTTGTAAAGTACTTAACTCCATTAGACATACAGGAAAATAGGAAAAGAGATGTAACATTATTTCTGAAAATCACATAGCAATTACTACTTTTTATACAAGTAGATGTTTGTTTTACTCGGCTAGAAGATTAAACTAGTCATGCAGAACTACCGAGGGAGTGTAATCAGCAACTCCAAATACATCCTTTCTTTGGGTGGAAAAGAAAAACTGAAATCTATCTCTTTGATTTACTCATAATATGCATCATTTTTCCTGTCGACTGCTTGCTCCACTACTGATTACCCATATCTGTTGATGTAGACCATATAGCTGCATTATCCATTGTAAACATTTCACAATTACTACAATAGAATTTATTATAATACAATTGTGTATCCATTAATAATTCTGTAAAATTAATAAATTTGTAAAAATTACTACAATTTGTGAAATTACTACCACAGTTGCCCGATGGTAAATTCGGTGGGCAACAAATTTAATAAAACAAACAAACAAACAAAATATAATCATATAAGAAAACAAGACTCACGGCCTCTCTTTGCCTCCAGTTACAATTAAGCCATCACGTAATGTTGTATACATTGCAAATATAGGACCATTATGAGCTTTGCCCACAATTCGATTCAATATGTGGTCCTTCCAAACACACACATCTCCACTGATGGTACCTGTAAATGTCAAATTATTCTGAAAAGGGGGAAAAATATGTCCATCATCTGATTTCAAAAAGGAATGAATGCAAGCATTTACTATGAAAGGACAATTTGTATAGAACATAGTGCCCAATCTACAATCCCAACCTGACTTTAGTTCTGGGTTTGGGAGAAAAAAAGCTTTAGTCATTTTGCAACTGATGTCAAGTGCAAAAATCTAGTGGTTCTTCATTTCTTATTGGCTTTTAATAGCACTGATCACAATTATCCTTTAGTAACTGATCTGAGACTTTACCTACATTTTTGCTTACAGGGGTTCTTAAGCACTATTATCACTTCTTAAGTACTTTCTAGTACTTTCTTTTTTATTCCATAGCTATGGAATTGGTTAAAAGAAGTTTTGGGACCTATGTGAGAAAACTAGCAATACTCTGCTTTTTGAACAGGCACCTGTATCCTACACAATAGCTAAAACTATAAGCTTTTCCCCACAAATGACACATACTATGTTCATAGAATCATTCAGTCATTGCTCAAGTAATATACAGCCGCCCTTAGTCTTTTTTGGATTGGATGAGTGGGAAAATATACTAAGCAACAATTACAAAAAGTGGTTTTAAAGTTTATTAATATTTAAAATATTCTTTTAAATTACGTACAGCTCCAAATGCCACAGAGAGCATGGTTTGCATTCGTGCATCTTCTATTGAACTTGTCTGTCCTTTTTTACTAAGAAGGGCTCTTCCAGCAAGGGTCCAAAATCTCACATGTTTTACTCCTACTGAAACAAACTGAGTGTCGGAATCAGGCCTGAATTCTGCTACAAAAATACGTTGGTTATGACCGGCTCTACTGGCAATTTTGGCACCTAGTGGGAAGAGTTAATTATACTTTACATTCAGATATACATAATTGTATCAAGAAATGGTGAAAACAAATAGTGTTTTAAACAATATTCTTTTAGGTATAGTTGTAGCATCATTGTGTTCTATCATTAAATTACATATTTGGTCATTTTTTTAATGGATACTGATAATAACATTATTGCTAATAGTAACATTTTTATTTTTATCTTTGTTAATGAAAATTGTTATTCACTTATGAAATTTTAGTATTTAAAATTTTAAAAACAATCAGGACATTATACATATACAATTCTAAATTTCTGACATCTCATCTTGCTATGAACAATATAGCAAGTCTGCTATTAACCCCTGTATTATTTCCCGTTCTATAAGGAGTATCATATTCTTTTAGTAACTGTATCAGTTTGAAGAGGTATCTGTGATGATGTATTATCCCCACATTATGTTGCTCATAGTCTAATTAAGTAGTCTAATTAAGTATTCCTATCTAAGTGCAGGTCAATATGAGAGATATTCGCACCAACTAGTGATTAACTGCTGCTAATAAGTGTAATCCAGGACCTAAAGCTTCTTTCTGTACAAGTAAGCTCTAAAAAATATTGTTGAAACCATGCATGATGCACATTTAATACTCATTGTACAGGCAGAAGATATTAGATGATATTTAAATTGCAAAGGCTTTTTAGGATAGTAAATTATTTCATATGCTTTAGCCTTCTGCTTCTAGAACAGAGCACTAGGCCTGTGACACCTAAGAGGTAGTTATTTAATAGCTACTGTAGTTTTTCAAGTTGCCGTCTAATCAAACTATCAGTAAAGAAGATCATAAGAGCAGAAAGATAAAGTTGAGAAATTGGAAATGCTAGGGACAAGACCAGGCAACACTGGTATTCTTGATTTTAAGACAAATTAAAGCTGGGTGTAACTGATGTAAAAAAGACAAATGCAAAGTTCTTCTTTTAAGAAATAAAAGTCAAGTCCTCAAGTTAAAGATACTTGTGAAAATGATCTTGCAATAGTAGTTGACTGCAGACTGAGTATGAACCAGCAATGTAATATTGTGGCAAAAAAGATAAATGTAATAATTTTAGGCTGCATCAAGAGAACTTCCAAACCAGGAAAACCTTTGTAATACTGTGTTGACAAAATATTGCAAGTTCTCAATATTTTGCTGTGATTATACCATAGGTTTGGATCACTATAATATTCATTTATTTGACTTGAACTAAGTTGAGATAATTCCATCATTTTTCATGAATACTTTGGCACCATTAGTAACAATGACCAATCCATTTCTTCTATTTTCTTCCTTTCTTTCTCTCTCAGTAAATTTGATGCTCCTTTGATGTAAAAGTGACCCATTCCAATGCATTTCAGTTCACTGATTTCCAGAATGTCAATGTTCAGTCTTAACTTTCTGCTCTGACAACATAAAGTTGGCCTTAGTTCATGGTTCTGATGTTCCACATATCAACAGTATACGTGTATATTCAGTACTGAACTTTTGCCTCTGGGCATATCAACTCCACATGTCCAGCTTTAATTCAGCCACATCAAAAACACCAGTGCTTCTTGTACTTGCCTCTGCTCTTCCCAAGTACTTCACTGGTTGTCTTGACATGAGTTGGAGGTGGGGAGGAGGAGAGATGTCATTTTCCAAAATCACACTGATGCCCTGGTTGATATTGCCATTGGATTTTCTTGTCAGAATACTGAAATGATTTATCACTTCTTTCTCCAATAGATTCTGTTTAATCTATCTACAATCTATCTGCCTGTCATGGATGACCTTTCTACATATTCAGAAAGATATAAAATCATGGAGATGTCCAAGCTCCTTCACTGTTACCAGGTAATGATCCATGAAAGAAAAACCTTTATCGCTTGATGTCAAATACAGAGTTGGCTTACTTAAAATAATTTATCAATAAGAACCTAAAAGATTTTGTCCAGGGTGCCATGTCTCACATCTTTTTAAAAAAGATGGGTGTCTGAACGCAATCTCTGATTACCAGTTCCTGATCAATGAACCATTAGAGATCACCAGCCTTTCCCACTCATTGACCTCTCAAAAAAAGTCAAAAAGCATGTATTTTTATCAAGTTGGGTTTTAGGGAAACTTATCATTTGATTTGCAAGAAAAGCATACAGGCACTTTACAAATAACTGCCTGTAATTTTTGATATGGGAATTTAAAAAGTGTGATAATTCGGTTCAGACTGACACGCAATCTCTCTTGGCTTTCATTTTTCTCATGAATTTTTGTATGACTTTTTAAGAAGTTGGACAATCTGTCATTTATTCTAAGGAAAATGTTCTCTCCACAGTGAATAAAGTGCAGGTGGTTTTTTAATGCCTTTGTAAATATAACCTCTGCCTAAGCCAGACAATGTATATGATCTTCCTCAAAAGGATAATGCCTCTTTTGGCATTATCAAGTACATTTAGCCTTTTGGGCAGTTTGCCAATTTTTATTTTAGGTTATTCCTAATTTTGCTACACCAAGAACACCACTGGTTTATCTTATTAAGAAAATGATTCCTTTCAACTAGGATTTTAACAGAAATTTTTTTTCTGCTTAAACAGAAAATGTACTTCTCTGGGTATCCCTTCATCCTACAAACCCATATCCTGCTTTACTGTACCTTACAGTAATGGCTGATACTCGCAATTTTATTTTGCATGCAGATTGTGCTTTTACACCCTATTCCAGAATTTAAAGATGTCCTTCATTGGCCCTCTGTCCATCATGCATAATCAGGTGAAAAAACAGAGAGGAAAAAACTTCATTCAGCCAAGAGGGCTGTGAAAATATCTACAGGCCCCTCACATCCTGGACATAAACTGTTTCAACTTCTACCCTCAAAATTACGCTATAGGGCACTGCACGTCAGAACAACTAGACACAAGGACAGTTTTTTCCCCTCATGCCATCACTCTGCTAAACAACTAATTTCCACAACACTGTCAAACTATCTAGAAAGGCAGAATTACCATCATTATTCTCTTCTTCCTTATTACCTACCTCCTTATCTTCTTATGACTGTAACTTTGTTGCTTGTATCTTACGATTTATATTGTTTACTTAGTATCCTAGTATGATTTAGGTTGATTGCTTATTTAGTGTCCATGACTATCACTAAGTGTTGTATCTAATGTTTTATGATGAATGTATTTTTACAGTGACAATGATAATGATCTATCACTATTGTTGTATGTACACTGAGAGCTTATGCACCAGAGACAAATTCATTGTGTGTCTAATCAATTTGGCCAATAAAGAATTCTAATTCTAATAGATTAATTGCTGTGTAAATTATGAGTGAGGATTTCAGCAAGATTTCTTTAATCATAGGAATTTCCTAGTTTCAGATAGAGTGAATATTTGCCTACCTTCTTGCCATTTCCAAATGGTAATGGTATGTTCAGGATCCAAACCAACAGACAGAAGAAGCTTGCCAGTGGCACTAAATCCAACTGAACAAACTCCCTTTGAATGGTAACATCGCAGTATAGACAATGTCTGTTTGTTCATTGCATCCCACACATGAATACAAGGAGCTGTTGCTGAACAAATATAAGAACAGCAATAATTAATTTTGTTAAAGAAAGCTTACAGGATATTTTAATATTAAAAGCATTCCAATTTGTTTTAAAGCATCTTTTAATTTATTAACATTTACACTTATTCTTTTAAAAAGTTACATTTAGTAAATATAAACTCATTCCTATTAAGATTTCTCTTGCAATCCTAAACTCGTTTTAGATCTGAAAGAAAGAATGCCTTAAAGCACATATAGGAGCAAGTGTTTTAATCAAAAGTACTTTATGCCCAATCATGAGTTTAAATTTAGTTTTCTAGAAATGTTTCCACTGGATTTTAGTTGTGGGCTATAATGCCCTTAAATGGAGACTACATGGCCCTGGATAGGAAGATAAAAAAACTGTAAAAAACAAACTGTCTTTTCAACAACTTGCCAGATGACTGTCACTGCACAGGAGAGAACAGGATCCTGGAAACAAATAACTGCCTGTACAGATGGTGCTGCCAAGAAGGGTTTGTATTTCTCAGTCATGGACTGCTCTACCCACATAAAGGAATCTTGGCAAGAGATGGATTGCATCTCCCACACACTGGGAAGGATGTCCTTGGCAGGTGCCTTATGAATCTCCTATTAATCATGTAGTTCATGATTGGTAATTCCAAGACGACCATCACCTACACTTTTCCCCTCCTTTACAAAAGAGGCAAACATCTATGAACGAGAAGCATATCCTTCTGCCCTGATTTGCCTAGATACAGCTTTTTCACTTGAAAGTAGAGTGCTGCCAGAAATGTTATGTTATTTTAATGTCTCTTAATAAATCTTATTAATCAGACCTCAAAGACTTGTTCTGGTCTAACCCAGCTTGCTCCCAGAAACCTGACAACAAGGACAAATATGTTGTCATAGGTGCCACTACAATTTAATAGGATGACAGATGCATTTGGAATATAGACTTGAAAAGCTACAATTCATTGAAAAGGAATAGGCTCAACAGAAATGTAGTTCAGAAATGGTTTATTGCTAGCAATAACATTATCATTACAAAGAATGAATATTTTATTTCAATTAAGGGAAATTTTGAACATTTAAAAATTGTCAAATTTTGTTTTGAATTAAAAAACCACTAATATGTTTTAATACCATGTAAATATAATCAGTTGTTTACAACACACTAAATAACAGAAAATGCTTAGTTATAATTGAAGATATTAAAATTTAGCTTTTTTCTTACTTGACATGTCTGCTGAGTCTCCTGTAATGGAAAACCAGTAGAAAAATCATTACAAACAAAAAAGATGATAATTTATATATGTGTGGAATAAAGTGTATAATTTCAATTTATTTCAAAAATAAATCTAAACTTAAGCTATCTCTATGTAATTAGATGCCGTTTCCAAGCACAAGATAAACTGTTCAGAGCAAAAACAGAGACATTTTTAACATCAATCTTGTAGATTATTCACATCTAAATTACCATATATGGAATTTTCCATTTGCAGAGAAATGTTATTTGGTTAAAGACAGATCACGTTCTTGTTCTTTCTGAAGCAATCCACAGAAGTGCAGAAAATTTATTATCTTACTACTTTCAGAGAGTTCACAAATTATGCCGAACAATGAAACACAGTATGTGAATGAAAAACTGCCCTTGTACTAAAATTTCTCTTTTTCTAATTCCATGCAATACTATAGGTGTTCCCAAACTGTAGTTTCCTCAAAATAGGACTGTGCATAGTGTGTTTATCCAATCTGACTGAAGATAAGTTATAATTATGGGAGACAGGATTATTTACAGTAATCGCTTTTCAATTAGTTCATCTTTTTAAAGTTTTATTTGGGACAATTCTTTCTCTTCCTCATGTAGCCTAGGATGAGACAACGCTCAGCAAGTTTCTTTAATTATCTTCAGGGAATCACATTAGAATGAAACAATAAAGATCAGTAAAATGAAATTTTATTTAACAAATTAATTAGGAAAGGGTGACTGTTATTCTCTAAAGTTCAGTAAACTGAAGAAAATTCCACTGTAGCAACACAAGTTATGCCCTTTGAGTCATTTAGGTTATGATGTCACATAATACATTATGTCAATTACTATAAATGATAGAATGTGTAATTTGCATAGTTATCAGATACATAACCCAAATTATATATTTTGTATTATTATGATTGTGATGTATCACAACCATTACTACTTTGTGTCATCTGTATCCTGACATCATTCACAAATGACATAAATCATAACGGAATTTTGTGCATTTTGTGTAAAATCCATGTACTGAAATTTCTAAAGATCTACTTTTTCAACCTTCACAAGACAGAGCATATGGTTATATGTAATTTGTTTATCTTCAAGCTATAGAAATCTTTTCTTCATCCAATATGCTTTGAAATCTTTTCTTCACTTCACAGCTATGGTTATTCTATTATGTAAAATACCATAGTTTGCATATAGCAGACTTCATAGTATTATGCAGAATAAAAAACGCTTAAGTGTGGCTCATCAAATTTAATAATCATTTTGATGAATGCTGGGATGAAAATATAATTGGCATTGTAAAAACAGGAATAGATTTGTGAATAATTTTTAATGATACAAGAATAAATTTAATTGACTCCAGTAACTGACCAATCAGAAGCAATGTAACTAAATGCTTTCTTCTCTTTATGAATTCATCTGGCTACCTGCTCAGTTACAGTATATATTGTTTTTTTCTTTAAAAATTGAAACATACCTACTTGGCCAGTTGCCACAAGGTTGACAAATTTGGGATGCTGATTTATAGTGAGGCACAAAATGTCATCATTATGTTCCTGATAAAAAGACTGAGAACCTAAAGAGAAAAATGTATATGTATTATTTCATGCACAGTATTACATCTGGAGGGAAAAAATATTATCATTACAGAAGGGAACATGAATAATGTCTCATACTATTTTCTTTTATAGATATGTAGTTTTCCTACCTGTTGCCACATTATATAGAATTCCAACTGATGCTGTATGATAAATTATGTCAGCACCATCATTCAAATAGTGCACATTGTTTCTGCCATCTCTACCGCGGTATCCAAATACCAGTTCGAGCACTAAATCCTAAGAAAACATATTTAGAATCACTGGATTCTTATATTAAAAAGGTTTTAAACATATGTACTAAACAACTTTTAATAAGTTCCCCCAACATTGAGAAAAACATACATTACCACAATACACTACCACATACATAATTGACAACAAAGAGGAGATATGTCTTCTAAACCTCTTACTTCACTCTGTTCTTCAATTTTAACATTGAAGTACTAGTCAATTTAATTATTTAAGTTTTAAATAGATACAGAATAAAATATCATATTATGTGTTACAATTTATTCCCTCTACTTGGTCAAATAGAGCTTCTACATTTGTTTAATATTTTTAATGAGATAGCTCCCTATAGTTCTTGAAATTATAGCTTAAATAATATGTTTTTAAAACCAGCAGTTTTTCTTACCTCTATAGGTCTCTTCTTCTTCCCAACATTATTTGTTTGGAGTTTTTCAGGCTGAGGCAGTGCCCTACTAACTGGTGGTCTGAAACAAAGAACTGAGAATAAGAAAAATTGTCTGTCACCTATTCAGTATAAAATAATATCTTTTAAACTGTCACCTGGACAATGAAAAATGTTAGCCTACCTGGCTAATATATTAGAAATCAGTTTTATATAAAAGTTTCTTATTCAATTGTGCATACATTATTATTTTTGTTAATTGCCTTCCACATGTTTAAAAACTGTATAAATGAATGAAATAAAAAAAGTATATTTAATCATCACATGGACAGTATTAATTCATTCTTGAGATAAAGAAACTAAGTTAATATAGATCTCTTTTCTTTGCTTATTAATGTGTTTATTAGCCATAAAAAATTAAACTTTCTTGGCAGAATTTGCCTTCTCACTTTCCAGATCTTCTATTTATCCATTTCCTAAACTTGTCTTTATTCTGCTCATCTTTAGATAATGTATTATAAACTCTTATTTGAATTAATAGAGATGAATATTATTCCAGGGGTAGTAAAAATTATGGTAATATTTTGTAGCATACCACACTCAACAACAAGAACCATCTAATTTTAAAATATCTCAAGACATTCCTATTAGTATCCAAAACAATATACATTGGCAAATACAATAGGTAGTACGAATGAGATAAAGAGCAAAGTTCCTCAGTCTTTACTATTCTGAGAATAATGGCAAGAATGAAATAGGATTGGCTGCTCAGTATCAGATGGTAAAGGTACAGACAATGAGTGAAAAAAAATCCCAAATGCTATCACCAGATGTATAGTGATGGAACAAATATCTCACAGACTTCTCTGATCTCTCTGCATATTATTTCACAATGACATGACACAAGTAGGAAAAGGATACAGTGGAGAGGAAGAAAGCATGATAGCAATAGCAATAGCACTTAGACTTACAGTATATACTGCTTCACGGTACTTTATAGTCCTCTCTAAGCGTTTTTTACAATCAGCATATTGCCCCCAAAAACATGGCTACTCATTTTACCAACCTCGGAAGGATGGAAGGTTGAGTCAACCTTGAGCCTGGTGAGATTCGAACTGCCAAATTGCAGGCAACCAGCAGTCAGGAGAAATAGCCTGCAGTACTGCATTCTAACCACTGCACCACCATGGCTCAGAAACCAAGTAAGAATATAGCAATTCAAAATCTGAATTTGTTTAAGATGCTTAGTTAGTATAGTTTATTGAATAGCCCGAAGGCCTTTTCAAACAAAACAAAAGAGAAAAAGGGAAAAAGATAAAACAGTTACAAAAATAGCAATCTAAAAATATATGATAGATGACATTAAAATTTTACCATATCAAATTTCAATAGCTAAGTTGCCAAGACTAGAAGACTAGATAACCCAAATAGGATAGCTCCTCTCTAACTGAGCTCATCTTTCTTACAATCGATAAAATTTTCCTTGATATAACTGGCTCGTATTGCCGTCAACCTTTTAAGGTATCGAGTGATCGCTCTTACCAGGGGAGGAGAGTCAGCCTTCAACAGAAATGCTAATTTTTGGCTTATATTCCAGTGGGGAAATTTATTTATAATTGGGGACAGATATTGATTTCTAACTTCCTGATAGAGACTACATTCGAATATTATATGCACCGTGTCCTCCACAACGTTTACCCCACATATGCATATTCTTTTGTCATACGGGATTTTCTGATAACGGCCGAATCTAACGTTGGTATCTAGAAGTTCAAATCTAAACTTAACAAATAACTGTCTCTCCACTGATGGCATTTCTAAATATAAATACTTTTCCAGGGTGAAAGTTGTTTTAACTGCTGTCAGCAGTTTAAGGGAATGATTAGTTGAAAGGGTTGCCATATCCATTTGCCCATGTATATCTTTAATCCGTTGTTTAACTTGGTTCAATGTGTCACACAACGGGAACCCTATGCCATATCGGTTCAATATTTCTGACAGCCGGGTTAGCCAGGAATACCTTTGAGGATTTGAAATCTGCTGTTCCTCTAGACATATTTTAGGGAGTCTGCTGGCATCCATCTGGGTCATTTTTAGCCAGTAGGCTACCGCCCTAGTGATTGTATAGGTGTATAGTGAGAAATGTCCCAATTCAGCTCTGACGGCTGCAGCTGAAGTGGAATTGTTTACCCCAAGCATCCTCCTTAACAGATTATTTTGAGTTCTCTCTAATATGGGGGCCTCTGTAAGACCCCAAATTTCAGCACCATAGAGCATGATCGGAACAAGTTTAGCCTGAAAGACTTTACGAAGAGGTAAAATGGAGGTTGGTTGGATTCGTTTACTTAATTTAGATACAAGGCTTGCTCCTGCTCTAACCTTTTGAGAAAGGTATTGATGGTGCGGAGTCCAACCTCCTGCACTGGAAAAAACAATTCCAAGATAAGTATATTGGGTAACTTGTTCAATTTTTGTGTCGTTAATCTGCCAATTGTGCTTTTTATTCTTGTTGTCAAAGACTAAAACTTTTGATTTAGCTACATTTATAGTCAAGTGGTTTGCAGTACAGTAACGTGTGAGCTTGTCAAGAAGTCTCCTCATTCCTATTTGGGTTCTAGAAAACAACACTAAGTCATCGGCATACATTAATACGTTAATAAATCTAGAGCCTATTTGGGGGCTGTGCGTCATAAAATCATCCAGCTGCGCTGGGATATCATTTATATAAAGGTTAAAAAGAGTAGGGCCCAGCAGGCAGCCCTGCCTCACTCCTCTAGTTGTCGGTATGCTGTTTGTTGAGGCCCCATTTGCTGCATATCTGACTCTAATTGCCGTATTAGTATAGAGAATCCTGATCAACAAAATAAGTCTGGGGTCCATCCCCATAACTTGTAGTTTCCTCCACAAATGGTTCCTATCTATAGAATCAAAAGCAGCAGTAAGATCAATAAAGGCGGTATACAGCTTTTTCCCCTGGGTCTTGTATTTATTAATTAAGTGGGAAAGGACAAAACAATTGTCTATGGTAGACCTACCTGATCTAAAACCTGCCTGCTCATTTGCCAGAATTTCCTTATCCAAGCACCAGTCCTCTATTTTATTTAGGAGATGTTTCGTATACATTTTTGAAATTATATTAAGAAGACTGATGGGTCGGTAGTTGGATGGGGCGGCTCTGTCACCTTTCTTAAAAATTGGAAAAACTATAGCTAACCTCCACCCTTCAGGGATTATCCCTATTTTATCGATATAAGTAAACAGTGCTACCAGCACCGGTACCCAAAAGTCAATGTTGGACCTAAAGAGTTCAGGAGGCAACAAGTCCTCTCCAGGGGCCTTCCCGGCCTTTAAGGATTGAATTATATGCTTAACTTCGGTAGGGGTAACTGGTGTCCATTCCGGACATTTCCTTAATTCTTGCTGGAGGATATCCAATTGCAAGACATTTGTTGTATTGTTACTATCAAATAAAGCAAGATAGTGCTTCTCCCATTTTACTGCTGATATATCAGTGTCCATAAATGGGGAACGTTGTTTTAATATACCGGCTATCTTATGCCAAAAGATCGTAGGGAATTGGGATTTCGCTGCCATTTCTACCTCTTTCTACATCCTGGTGTTATAGCTACTTTTCTTGTTTTTCAGGAGGGATTTGTATGCTCTCCTGAGTTGAACCATATTTGAATAATCACCATCCTGTCTGGATCAGTTAACTTTCTTAACTGCGGCTCTTAGATTTGACCTCAAGTTATGACAATCATCATCAAACCACTTTCTAGAGATCCCATCTACTTTTCTATCATTCTGGATCATTAAATTCCTAAGAGTAGAAGTTAGCTCTGTATAAGCTGGCATTGGGGTGTTGTCTCCGGGCTTAGATTGGGAGATTTCCCTTGCTAGGTGTCTGGCTTCGTCTGAGCCCAAATAAGTGGTAACAGATTTGACATCAAGTCTGTGCCAATATAACCTTTTATAGTTATAAACCCGGGCGTTTGCTAAGGTGTCAATTTCCTCTCTTGAATGAGGCCTAACTTCTGAAGAGAGTGAAACCAGAGCGGTCACTTTCCTCTCTAAATATAGCTCTTACTTCTGAAAAATGGTGTACTAAACTAGAGGAAGTGCAGATATAATCGATAGAAATTGAGGTTTTGTTGGATGAGAAAGTATAGGGATATATATACCCATCACTCGAGCTGCTTAGTACTTGCATATCATTCATAAACAGGAGGGAAATTAACCTCTGGGCATATTTATTGGTCCTCTTGTCCATTGAAGACCAAGTGAACTCATTATAAAAGTATCCAGTTGGTACCAGGCCTCGGTTAGCATAGCTCTTCATTGAGGGACCTAGTCTTGCATTAGTATCTCCAGCTAATATAATTTTTGCTTGGGGAAAGCGTCCCTTTAAGGTAGCTAATACTGAGTCTAATTCATCCCACAAATCCCTTCCTAGAAGGTGGAATGAAAAAGGAGCGATATATACATTGATTAAGATTAAGTCCATCCCCCTGTACATACATCTAATAGGCAGAATATATTGGAATTGAGGATCTAAAGAAATTTCTTTACCCTTCCATCCCGTATCCCTTTTGACCAACGTGGTTAAGCCCCCAATTGCCCTCCCTCTTAAATTGACTTTGCCTGCTGGTTTATGCCATGAGGCAAAACCCGGTAAGCTGATCTGTGGATCATTAGTAGTCAGCCAGGTTTCTTGAAGGAGGATAAGATGATGTGTTGAAATCAATTTTATAAAATCCATCCGGTTTACAATGCCTTTCCAGCCCGCTATATTCCAGGACAGGAGGGAAAGGCTGGGGATATAAGGTACCCTAGTTGTTGGCCATTTGTTGTCTAGTCAATCACCCCGAGGCACTACTCCTTGTGTCTCTTCCTCCCCCCTTCTGGTGGAGGGGTCCGGAATTACTACCACCGCCTTCTCTGGAGTGCCAAAGGAGTCAAAAGTGGCCTCTGTTTGTTGCGGAAGTGCCTCCTCCGTTCTTAAAGAAGATGAGACAGGTGAGGGCAGTTGCACTGTTGGGGGAGGGTGAACTTCTGCCGCTATGTTCATAGTCTTTGTTTCTT